CCAAACTTCTGACTCAGATGTCCAAGAAAATATAACCAAGCACTAGGGAGAGGCTCCACGCCAGGTGGATGCTGCATCTCTAGCTGTGTCAACCCCAGGGAAGCAAGACTTCATTCCCAGGCTCCCTGAGACTGGAAGGGTCTATACCAGAGGTCATTAAACTCCAGCTTGCAGCTGCCTTTTGTATTATATTTTTAAATGTTTCATAAGTACATAATTGTCTCTATTTTGCAACTTGTCCAGCAGAATCTAAATTATTAACCATCTAGGGCCAGCCGAGTGGCTCAGATGGTTAAGAGCTCACTCAAGAGTGCGAGATCAGAGCAATAGCAGCTCAATTACTGGGCCGAGCTGAGCTGCCGTTGAGCTGCCAACAGGTGGCAGAATGGCTCAGCCAAAAAAAAAAAAAAAAGAAAAAGAAAAATCTAGATTATTAACCATCTGGTTAATAATTAAGAAAAAATTTGCTAACCATTGGTCTATACCAGGGGTTGGCAAACTTTTGAGACAGAAGAGCCACCAGGAGTCAGCAAACTGCGGCTCGCGAGCCACAGGCTCTGAAATAAAATTGAAAATGAAAATAAAACTATCATGGTTTCATTTATAAATTTTTTAAAGGATATCATTCACATAATGGTGATTATGTACAAATATATTTATGGCTCTCGAATAATTTTTAAATTGTTGTAAGGGACAGGACTGGCTCTTCCAGGGGCCGGCAAACTTTTGAGACGGAACATACCCAAAGAGCAGCATGTGGCTCGCGAGCCGCAGTTTGCCGACCCCTGGTCTATACATTTAACCTAGTTATTCTTCAAACCCTGACACCTGCTGTACACCTACCTCTGGAATGAGCACTAGTGAGAGAGGCCCAGCCCACAAGGAACCCAGTGGGACAGGAGGCATGACCACAGCAGAGGATAAGTGCCATATTAGGGATCAGCATAGGGATCCCACTCCTGCCACAGCACTCAGTGCAGATCCAGTTATGGAAAAGTTTCCTTCCTATGCCCTTGGCCCTGCTAACCCCCTTGGCCCCTCCTCTGAGTCAGCTGGGGAAGTCAATGGCACACTGCTCGGCCCTTCTTCCCTTGTTTCTTCCCATTGCCCTCCAGGCTCATCCCACCTTAGGTGAAGGATAAGGGTGAGGTTGCTAAAGAATATGCAGGGTCTCTCTCCCAAATACTGCCTTTTCCCTATCAGAGATGCAGGAAGCCCTCCTTCTCTTCCCCCATCCCTCACCTGGCCAGGCTCACTCTTCCAGGTGCCCAGTCCAATCAGGGGCATCTTCTGCCCAGTGTGCAGGAGGACACAGGAAGCTGCCATTGCCTCTGAAACACAGATGGGAAGAGAATGGTGCAGGGATCAGTGTTGCTGATTGGCCTTCAACTACCCACTGGTTAAGACTCCTGTAAAATATGGATGGTAAAGTACGCATAGAGGTGACAGAAGAACAAAAACACGGCTGTGTGTATGTGCCTGTGAGCAGAGGCAGCTGAGTCAGGGTGCTTAGAAGTAACCAAAGCCAGTAGCTCCTGGACAAACACTAACCAGATGACCAGCCTGGGTGCCCCTCCTTCTACCAGGCTAAAGGTCTGTGTTAAAGAGCTCCAGTACCTAAAAACAAAGGTGGGCTGGTTCTCCAGAAGTACCTAGTCTTGACTACATAGGGTCTCAAGCCAGTGTAAGATAGGCAAAGGCCATTATGAGACAAAGTGAGACCGGGTGACAGAATAGGCTCAGGAAAGGGTCACTTCTCTGAGAATGAAATGAACATTCCCATGAGGTTCCAAGAACTACAGAGACTCGCTGAGTTCCTCTCCCAGAGGTCTCATCTGCCACGCTGCTAGGCCTGAAGGGGCTCTTACAAAGGGCTCTTTTTTTAGATGAAAAAACAAGCTCGGAGAGATGAAGTTATTTGCCATGAATCAACAGCTAAGAAGCGGCAGAGTCAAGGATCCAAGGAGCTGATGGAAAAAGGCAAGAAAAAGGCAGGTAAACACAGATCTATTAAATACACGTGCTCACAGTAGACACATGTACAAGTGAGTGTCTTTAGTTGTGCAGTCGTGGCTGCTTCGATGTCCTGAATCGATTCAAAACGTTTTCCTTTATGGTCATTTTGACTTTGGAGAAGAGCCAGAAGTTGCACAGTGCCAGATCTGGTGAATAAGGTAGATGAAGATACACCATGATGTTTTTATTTGATAGAAATCGCTGCACCAAAAGAGATGTGTGACATGGAGCGTTGTCATGATGAAGGATGAAGTAAAGACACTCACGAAAGAGGATTTCCAGAACTGATTCAGAAAGTGGCAAGAATAATGGGATTAAGCGTGTTCAAAGCAAGGGGGAGTATTTTGAGAGGGATTAATGGCAATGTGTCTTTTACTGTAATAAAAATGTTTTAATTTAAACATTCACNCTGGCATCCCAAGCCTACTCCTAACCAATGCACCACTCTGCCGGCCCTCATCTTTGATTTTCTTAACTGTCAAATCCTGGCATTTCAACGGCTTTGGGTATGATGTGTGAAGTATTCCAACAACATTTTAATTGCTTCGTGAAGTATTGCATCTTTTCCAAGATTTGCAATTTCACTTTGTAGTGAATGTGCACTGTTCTGTCCATTAATTAGACAAAAATGTCAATAGAGAAATGCTAATGTTAAGCAGGGTGAGATGTTTGAGTCAAGAATAATTTTTAAGTAGTCAGTTTATTAGAGAATAATTTCATGTTATAACTTTTGCTTCCTTATATGGGCTGAACTGTGTCCTCCCTCAAATTCATGTAGTTAAGCCCTAACCCCCAGTTCTCAGACTGACTGTATTTAGAGACACAGTCTTTAAAGAGATATTTAAGTTAAAATGAGGTAATTAGGAGGGGCCCTAATCCAGTATGACTGGTATTCTTACCAGATGCATACATGGGGAAAACAATGTAAAGACACAGGAAGAAGATGACCATCCACAAGCTATGGAGAGAGGCCTGGAACAGATCCTTCCCTTATGACCCTCAGAAGAAACTAATCCTGTTAACACCTTTCTGTTCAACATCTAGCTTCCAGAACTATGAGAAAACAAATTCCTTTGGTTTAAGCCATCCATTCTGTCGTAGTATTCTGGCAGCCCAGCAAAGTAATAGACATCATTCTCAAACTACCTCATACCTGTGGAAAGCTGGATCATGAAAGTGTGTGAGGGAGCTATGGAATCACATAGTAAGCCATCTTGGTAGGGTGAGGTGAAAAAAAAAGTCCTAGAGAAGCAAGTGACAGCTAAAACGAACATTTAAATAATAGGTGTTAGCCCACACAGTGGGCCAGGGGATGGACTGTTCCAGGTTGAAAGGACCAGAGACCAAATACTTCCAACATGCCTCCCTCCATCTATTGGGTTGTCGGAAAAGTCATGACATATTTTTTCTGTTTTTCGTTGCAAAAATGCATCATGATTTTTCTGACAACCCAATACTTTTTATCCTTGTAATCCATTGTACCAGGATTGTGTTTCTAAGACACAAATCACACCATGTTATTCCTGCTAAAAACTTTTCCATGGCTTCCTGCTGCATTCAAAACAAAAATCCACGGGCCGGCCGAGTGGCTCAGTTGGGTAAGAGCGCTAGCTCTGAGCAACAGGGTTGCTGGTTCGATTCCCACATGGAATGGGCTAGTGAGCTACACCTGAGCTGAGCTGCCGCCGAGTTGCCAACAGGTGGCAGTGTGGCTCAGTTGGTAAGAACACATGCTCCTAACAAGTTTGTTGGTTGACTCCCGCATGGGAAGGTGGGCTATGCTCCCTGACAACTAAGATTGAACGCGGCACCTTGAGCTAAGCGGCTGCAAGCTGCTGATGGCCAGCTGGTTGACAACTGGACTTGGAGCCGAGCTAGCTGCGCCTTCCATAACTAAGATCGAAGGACAACAACTTGGCTGTTCCCCTTCCCCAATAAAATCTTAAAAAAAAAAAAAAAAAATTAAAACCCAAATCTTAACCCACTGTCCTAGACCCTCTGTCACCAGGCCCCTAGATAATTCCAGCATTATTTTATGTCATTCCACCTTCGCTCACTTTCACTCTGTCATACAAGACTTCTTTAGGTTTTTCCAGAAGCTTCTTCCAGTGTCAAGGCTTTCCCCCCAAGCTACCTAATTTGCACAGAACACGATTCCAACTCTCATCTAACTAATTAATCCCTATTCGTCCTTCAGATCTCAGCTGATTAAAACAGTAGTCTTCTCACTCTACACTTTAGCACATCTTCCAACTGTAATTAAACAAATTATGCAACTACTTTAATAAAGCCTGTCTCAGACTGTAAAGACCTATGTGTCTTAACTATATTCCCGAGTCTAGCATTGTACCTAACCTATATAAATACCCAGTAAATATTTGTTCAATGAAGACCAGTGGTTTGACTAGAAGGCTCAGTTTTGTGTGATTGGAGTTTAGAGGAATTTTCCTAAAACCTCAGTGGCCTCGCTGGGACTATTAAGTATGTTAAGATAGGACCTTAGGTGCAGAGTGACAAGACTTGGGGCTGACTCTGCCTCCTTCAGGTAGCCTAAGCACAGACTATAGTGTCTGAGAGAAAAAGCCCATTCCCACCTTTCCTGATTTGCAAGCTAAGTTTTTTTTGCTCTTCATTTTCCTAAGCCTAGGCACTGGCCAGGGTAGGGAATGGATAGGAACTCAAGACCTAGGCTCAGTAGTTCCATACAACCACAGGACTCTCGCTGCCCTGATCTCAACGCTGAGGTGACCAATTTTTGGCATGCTCAGTTAATACTCTGGGGCAGCATGTAGTGCCAAGAGTTGCCACTAGATGGCGCCACTCCACTAAGGTCCCTAATTCAGGAAAGCAGAAATGGAATTCAGCTCCATCCTGGTTCCTACAGAACAAAGATAAGTTTGGGCACAGGGCAGGTGGTACCCAGTATCCCTAAGTGAAATAGTTTCCATCCCAGGTCCGACCAGAAAAATAAGACAAGCAAGCAATGTAGATGCTCCAATGACTTTATTAACTACTGTGGGGGTGGCAGGACCTCGTAGCTGGAGAGATGGAAAGGAAGCCAGGAAGCTGTGGTTTCAGTATGGGTCATTAAAGGGGTACAGAGGGTGCCCTGCATCTCTCGGGATCTTCCTCCCATCCACCT